GAAAATAAAATATAATATTCTGAAATAAAATATAGCCTCCGAAATAATATCTCATGAAACACAAAGATAAGACAATGATATCAATTCTAGGTCAAATAGGATCCTAGATAAGTCTTGCTCCAATTAATGACTCTGATTAGATGTTTTCTTTGACTTTCTTAATTGTATTGTTGTCTTTATAACCGAGGCTGTTCTTCTCTCTCTTTCTCCCTTTGGAATTTCCACAATGCCCCCACAAAATATAACCAAAAGCATGTTTTGTTTAAAAGTTGTATAAATGTGATTGTATCTTTCCTTTTATGATCTCTGAATATTTACTTATTCATTCACCAATATATCTGAAATGTAGTTACTTTTTTTCTATGTATTAAAAGCAGGAGACAAATTCGTCCTTGGCACATCACTCACTAATTGATGTTTTGGAGGGCCCTGCAACCACTGGTGATTTTGGTTCTCGGGTTAGTCACTTTCTATTTCTTCCGAAAACATTATGGATCTCTCTTTAGCAATTGTGCATATTCTTTAAATACATTGGAAACTATTGAAAAATAGCCTTTTGTATCTGTAGCATGATGTAAGGCCGCTATGTGATCAGGGTTCCATAGTAGGCTTGAATTCTTAAGAAATGGATAAAAAATTGAAGAGGGCAAAGAAGAAAACCCTAAGCTTAACATCTAGGATTACTCATAACTCATGCATAAGCTTGGATCTCAAAACAAGTACTTGGGTACTCTCAATAACTAAAAAGTTTATCATGCATAAATCTAACCAAAAGCCTTCTTTTATGTTGCATGATTGAATAATTCACAACTGCAACAGTGATAAAATTTCTCTCATGATAATTCTATATATCAATAGAAACATTACATTGATAGATATAAACTCTTAGCATTAACGTCGAATAAGTTCTTGTACTTCAAGATGGACAAGGACTTTAATAAATGCTTAGGCTCTAGTTAGGAAACTAACAAACTCAATCTAAAAGAGTATTAAACAATAAGCACATTTCAGCGAACCAGAAGATTACAAAGAACTGCTCATGCTTAAAACTCAAGAACATGTAAAAGAACCTAAGAACTTAGCAGCTAAACTTAAGTTTAATCTGTAAAAGCAACTAATAAAGCCTACTCAAGCTCCCATTATGCTTCTCATAATCAGGCAAATCAAGGACATGAGCATTCAGGTTAACTTTCTTGACAATCTTGTAGTGACCTTCAGTCCTTGAATGATGTGTCTTATATGCACCTTTAAAATACCTTTTCAGCGTGGTCCTCGCCATAACCATGCCTTGTTCCTTGGTACAGCAAGGTTTTTTCTTAAATCAGCATGTATTTCTAGCTCTTATTGCTCATAGTTATCACTTTCCAGTTTTCATCATGTCTATCATGAATGTGCTTCGCAAAAATTCTGCTACCCCCTTAGGACAAAATATGAGTAAAGGAACCAAATCATTATGGAAAAAATATGAGTATGGCCTTCAGTGCGGAGAGTAGTAGAGTTGCTAACTTGTGATACTGCATGAGCTAATTTAGAGGGGACCTGATACTACTGCCGTTGTTGTTGTTGTTGTTGTTGCCCCTGTGAAGGAAATTGATAATGGTAATTTTGTTGTCCTTGCAGGGGTTTAGAGCATTGATTCCTGCGGTGACCTTTTTCACCATTAATATAACACACTCTTGGACCTCCACGACCACTCGATCCTTTTCCATTACGACCTCCTCTAAAATTGCCTCTTCCCCAGTTGATCCTCCTCTGTATACATTGCCAAACCCACTAGTACCCTATGAGACTAAGGCAGATCGATCAGACACATCACTAGTAGTAAGAACACTTTCCTTGGTAGGACTCAGTATTGTGGTAATCACATCAAACAATTAAGAAACATCCTTGTCAGCCAAGAGCTGAGAACAAATCACGTCGTACTCTAAATCTAAACCAGATAGCCAACCAAAGACATATAGTCTTTCACACTATTCTTTCATCTTAGCCACATATGGCAGTGTAAAATCTTCATTAGCATGCTTATAATTATATTAACAATCCATAATTGTCTGTCTATTCTGACTTGGACGACTAACCTCCCGTGATAAACCATATAGACTCTTCATATTCTTTGTACTTGAAAAATACTCATGCAATAACTCCTGTAACTCTTTAACTATCGTAGTATGTTGCATTGAAAGAATCATCTTTCTATCACTACAAGTAACAATATGAGAGAACAATCTTCCATCATCTATCATCCATACCTTGGCAACATCTTTATTTGGACAAGGTTTAGTAAGATTTGCTTCTTTCCCAAGTTCTCTTACAACAACCTTCACTAGAAACTTTCATTCTACAAAATTAGAACCATCTCCAGCTAGTATAACATCAACTATTTTGTGATCTGAGGACATAACCTTCACACTCTTACTACGTTCTTTCACTATCTCACTGACCCTTAAACACCACTATTAAAACAATCAAGTAGCACAATGCAATAGTTAATGGCAATGGATTACAGATGATACTAACAACCTAACAAAAACAAATCAACTAACTTCTTGCAACCAACAAACTGCATATTCAGCTAACAAGGTCTACCAATCTTAGTAGAACCCGATCCACATAGTTACAAAGATCTGAAAAGTACCTCCTTTTTTTTAAGGGTTTTGGATAGGTAGACTTTGATACCATTTAAACTTCTCCTTTCATATATTAGACAAAGTTAATTTCCACACTGTGGCTATTCTATTCATAATAGTTTAGAGAATGTGAAAAAACCTAAAACAACCCTAAACCAACATAAGCCATAACAATATATATTAGTCTTTAACAACCAAAACAATATATATCAGTCTTTAACACCTTACAACGGTCTTATGCTATCCACCTAATAAGCACATATGCATGATGGGAAGTCCCTCTTAAGCAACTCCTGATTTCTATAACTAAAGAACTTCTTAATAATGTACATGTGCCACAATAGGCTTGCGCATTAGAACCTTAATTAAGTGCCTAAACAGCTTTAGAGGCAGCTGCCGGTATGCTCTATCATAATTCCTTTCTCACACTTAAATAAAAGCCTTGTGGGGCTGTTGATACATTGGACTAGCCATTGTTGGTGTTTTGCTCCTTATAAGCTAATTTGTTTATGTTTAACCATTTGTTTTTTTTTTTTTTACATTGACTATATTACTCTAACCACAAAAAGAATTTATTACTCTTTGATATTTTCCTGCGTGTCTTGTGTATTTAGATTAAATACACCATATATACACAACCATGTACAAATACTGCAGATGTCTTTGACTACTAGTCCATTTTCCCTCCACCAAAAGAACTTTCCACAATAAGATCAAAATTTAGGGTTGTTGAATTTGAAACTTTTCTTTTGACCAGGTGACTGGAGCTATTGTTATCTGTTGGGCAGTTGTGATTTTGAGTGGATTCATCCTTGGTTATGACATTGGAGTTTTAGGTACTCCTTGAAGCTTTATTTCTGACATTTTGAATTTTCAATTCTTATTTTAATTATTAGATACCCTTTATATTCATCTTTATCCATATATCTTATGCTTTCTATTTATATAACTCTAGAACAGCTAGACTGAAGTGAATTAATTTGCATGGGAAAGAAGCAAGAATTATATGGGTTAAGGGTGGATGATGAATAGTGATAAGAGGTATGAAAAAACATGAATGGCATGATGACACAAATGAACTGCTCTAGCTTCATATGTTTCTTTATCTAAAGGAAATGGGTTTATAAGACTTTCTGAAATTGAAGACTGTATCCAAATTGAGAAAAGCGTTAGAAACTTTATCATGATTCATGAATAATAGAACACTTTTGTGTAAAAGGCATGTATTTCATCAATATGCACAATGATTCAAATTTGTTGATGGATGAAATAAGAGCTATATAACTGAAAGGGTAAAATGTTTACATCACAATTGAACGGTTTCTAGAAACTGATGTATGACAAATTTAGAGTCTGCTAGGGCTTGATAATTAGGAGTTGAATAGAGGTTGATCTAATTAAAATTGATCTTAAAAGAAGGCTGGAGCTGAAAGGAAAAGGTTGCTAGGAATTCAGGTAGCAGGAAGAGTACTAGAAGCTCCTGCAGGAAGCTAAACTCAACAAAAGGTTGCCCCTAGGGAACATGAATTGAAAATTAGACTTCTGACCTCATAAAGTAATTCATAAATTGCATGTACTAAAAGTATAAAAATGACTGCGATAAATTTTCTTTTTCTTTGGCTGCGGTAGAAGCTCTTTCTATCAGGATTAAAAGCTAGTCATATATGAATCTTCCATCGAATCCTAACTATTCCATCTGGATATTGGTGGTGCCAAGTAATTTCCATTGGTATTCATCAAACATAGAACGATTACTAACTCATCTTGTTATTCCCCCTTTGATCAGTTTCTTAGCTATGTCATGTTTGACCAACTTCGTGATTTGTTTCACAGTGATCCTCAATGTAATGGGTACTTAAGTTTCCTTGTAGCAAAACCATCTATATTTTCGCTGGCTAGAGCTTGTATGACAGATCTGGAGGAATCTACTTACTTGGGGTTTATGGTAGGCTAGGAATAGAAAAATAGGGATTTCAAGTTTCAAAACTATTGCATAAATCAGGTTCAGGGTTTATTTTAGATGATACTTGGTCTCATGAAAAGGCTGGAATGCAAGAAGAGGTTGCTGGAAAATTTTTGGCAGCAGCAGAATTAGATGAAAACGATTTTGTAGCCATTGTTCTTGTGCAGTGAACAGTAAGCTGAGACATCATATAAAGAGAGAAAGATGGAGGGAAAACTCAATGACAACAAGAGTCGAGGTAAAATATTTTCCGGAAAACATTTTTAGGGCTTATGCTTATTTGGAGACAGAAAATTTATTTCAAATGTAAAATATTTTACAGGTCAACAAGAAAAACATCCATTGACCACGTAAAATGTCTTACGCTCTTAAGAGGCGTAAGATATTTTTCGGAAAACAGAAAAAATGCTCTTATACTAAACTTAGTAGTATTGCTTTGATGAATATTAATATTTAACTTAAAATATTAAAAATTAAAAATATCAATATTTAACTTTAAAAAGTTTTTAACTTAAAATATTAATATTTAAATTATTCAATATTACTAAAGTTTAAAAAATATTTTTAATGAAATCATTCAATGAAATTAATACTTTTATTTATAAATTGAATAAATCTTACAAATAATTATAACAAAAAATATTTCAATGATGGTCATTTGATGAATACACATTTATAATTATAGGTTTTAAATGTTTTACACAATTAATAAATATTGATATTATGGTAAAAAAATATGAGATGAATTTTTTTTTTCTAAAATTAGAGTTCACTTTCGCTACCACATGTGGTTAAATGCTTTGAAAAATATCTTTATTAATTTTCTTTATTTTCATTGTCATTCTTAATTTTAATGTGAAAACCAAATAAAATCATTATTTGGTAATCAACTCCTATTTATCATTGGTAATCAACTCTTATTTATCATCAAGTAAGTATTCTTGCCTGTCACGTGGGTAACCTGGGTTTGATCACCGGCAACGGCAGATTGTGTTTTTCCACTTCCCCCAATTAAAAAAAAACTCTTATTTATCATTGGTCAAAATATCATTTATAATCAACTCCTATTTATTATTGGTCAATATACTCAAGAAAAGTGGTCTCCAAAATATAAAACTTATCATCATATCTAAACCCATACTTCTAATAATTTTTTACTTTTTTTTTCTCTTTTTCTTTCTTATTTTTTTTCTTAAAATGACTTTTGGAGCCTTCTTACACCCTAAAAAACCCTAGCTATATGAGAGGGAAAAAAAAGGTAGAGAGAGAAGGGAAGTAACTAATGAGCAAAAGGTCTTTTTATATTTAGTGTTTTCAAGAGTGTAAGAAGATTCCAAAACAACGTAATTTAAAAAAAAAAAGAAAGAAAAAGAGTAACAAAAGATGAAAGTAATAAATTATTAGAAACAATGGGTTTAAGCATGATGGTAAACACTTTAGTGTATTTGTTAGAGGTTTTTGGTTTGAATTTTAATGAGAGCACATCATATTTTGGAGAAAAAGAGAGTGATGTGGCAATATCCTAACATGTTATGTGGCAGTTGGCATGCCGAATGGTAGCCTCTTAACATGCCACATCACTTGGACATGCTGATGTGGCAATGTCACGTTAGTAACCTAAGCCTTAATGCTGATGTGGCAGTGCCACATCTACTCATCCTATCATGTTAACATTGACGTTATGTTATTTAATGGCTAAATTAGATGCCATTAGGGAGAAAATTAAATTGGAGAGCAATTTTTAAAATCGAGGGACTAAATTAAACAAAATGTACGAGTATAGGGATCTCCCCAAGTAATTTGACCATTTATCATTTTAACCCTCAACTCCACCGGTGTTGGTGAAAAATATTTTTCACAGGATGATCCAAACAATAGAAAATGTTTTCGACAGTTTATCCAAACATCATAAAACATTAAATTTTTCTATAAAATATTTTACACAGAAAAATTTTCTCAAACCAAGTTATTTTCTTATTACCAAACGGATCCTAAAAACTTCTACAAGAACTTGTAATAATTCAAATTGTTTTTTAAATCAAATCCCTTACAATTAGAAATATGAAGAGACATGAAAAGGTTGACACTTTCTTATTGGAAATAGGATTCTATATACAATCTAATTGAACTCTCAATTAGATTGGAGACCTTTATCTCTTAATTAATGGTTGCCTCCATATTTTTCTCTCTAAACCTAGCATTGGGTAGTTATTAGAAAGGTCCCTCTACCTCATTTGTAGCACTTCCTCTGTCTTACACATACTAGAAATGTACTTGTGCATTGCACATGGATACAAAAATACATGTTGTAATAGTTGAGTTTATCATATTTTTGTTTCTAAAACTTTTTGTAGGTATCACGACAAATCAAAGATAATTAAACAGTGGATATCAAGTAGATGTTATGACAAATCAAAGATATCAAGCATAATGATTTGAATTGTATCCTAATAGATAAGGATATCAAGTATTATACTTAGATATGTAACACTACAAATAAAGGATATATTTAAGTAGTATTAAGGATATCATCTATATGCTTGGAATCGTAGTACCTCAAATCAAAGATATCAGGCATTAGGCTTGAAAGCGTAGCATTATAGATCAAGGATATCAAGCATAATGATTTGCACTATATCACTATAGATTAAGGATATCAAGCATTATGCTTGGTACCATAACACCTTATATCAAGGATATCATCTATTATGCTTGGAACCATAGTACCTCAGATCAAGGATATTAAGCATTAGTCTTGGAAGCGTAGCACTACAAATCAAAGATATCAAGCGTAATGATTTGAACCATATCGCTATAGATTAAGGATATCAAGTATTATGCTTAATAACATAACACCCTATATCAAGGATATCATTTATTATGCTTGGAATTGTAACACCCTAGCTCAAGGATATTTAGTGAATATCAAGTAGATATCATGACATAGTAAGGATATCATCTATTATACTTGGTACCATAGGACCCTAGATCAAGGATATTGAGCATTATGCTTGGAATCATTGCACTATAAATAAAGGACAATTAAGCAGTGGATATCAAGTAGATGTCACGACATATCAAGGATATCAAGAATTGTAATGGGAATTGTAGCACCTTAGATCAAGAGTATCAAGCATTATCCTTGGAAATGTAGCACTACAAACTAAGGATATAATTAAGTAATATCAAGGATATCATCTATTACGCTTGAAACTATAGTACCCTGGGTCAAGGATATTAAATATTAGGCTTGATAGAAGAAGAGAATGACCCCTAAAAGAAAAATCTACCAAGTCATGTTTTTCCATATCCATCAATGAGTGAAGATAACTATGTTAAATTGAATTGTGTGCTAGACTTTGATACTACTGCATTTCAACCAATTAAAAAATCGGGCAAACTGGACTTTGATAGTCCGATTTGTTAAACATTATAACCTTCATTGTGGAGCTTCCTTTATTAATCTTAAAGGCAAAAATAAGAAATTTTGAAAGAATAAGAATCATAAGCTT